AGGTGGAATGATTAAGTTCAGATTGTTATAAGTTTGAACTTTATAAATGAATTGAAATTCACGTGATAAATCATAGATGTGCCTCAACGGTCTACATATTATCCAAAATGTCTGTATTGCACTGATATTCACAACAAGGCTAATTTCATACCTTCTAACTAGTAAAATCAAACTTCTAACTCTACTTTAAACTGATCAACTAGTTGAGCTGTATCGAGATCGGTTTTATAATACTTTCACTACTATTTTACCAACAATACTTGGTGGCTGGATGAAGTGGCATCAACCAGATGATGAAAACTGGCAATTCCCATTCACTTTTTTTGGCTCCGAATGGCCATTAGACAAGAAGGGGGGGGGGGGGGGGGGTAGGGGCTCATCAGTCATCACTCATATATATATCAGAGTCGTCGTCATGTAGACACAGAAAGCAGAGAGACAATTCTCATCGATCTTACAGAGTCTTGTGACAGTTTGTGGGCAATAGATATGTATATCCAATAATCCAAGGTTTTCCAGTGACACTATCACGAGATGGTTATCAGTATACACATACAAAACAGTTCCATATATATATATATATATAGATAGATAAATAATCAAATAAGACAATATCGTTTCATGAAACTGTAAGATACAACATGAATGCACAGAATCTACTACAACAATGCACAAAAACTACAACATGAGTGCCCATAATTTAGTGTCTGTATTCATATAGTAGACTGTGTGTATTCATGTTGTTCTCACAGTAGTCTCACGAGAAGATGTTGTTTCACTGGAGCATTAACATATATATATATATATATATATATATATATATATATATATAACCTAATACAATATCATCACACTATACTACGTAGCAAACTTTGTCATTTGCCTTACCAATATAATCCCCCCACACCCCCTCCACCCCCACCACCCACCCACCCACCCACTTTTGCTTTTGCCACCATTGTCTCCATTCCTCAATGACAAATCACGTACCCACCTATTCACATGTGCGCCCCTTAATCATTACAACACTACAATTCTCTCCATACATTTCTCCTGCTCAAACCCTTGTCCCTTTTCAATTCCATCCCCCCCTCCCCCCTTTTTTCCCTTCCTCCTGTGCTCTGGTGTTGTGTGTTTAACTTGCTCCCTCTGCGCTGGTACGATGTTCGTCATGTATTCACATTATCTCTCCCTGCACTTTCTTAGGATTCCTGCACCCATACATAAGACAACACTTCATTAGTTGTTCCACTTGTTAGGTCTAGTCGGGGCTGACTCGGGGCACGCTGTGTGCTAGGTTTAGTCAAGAGTTTTATAACACCTCAGTAGTTGTTTAGTGAGCTAAGACTCAGCTCAACTCGATAGATGTTACGTGTCAGGTCCAGTTAGGACGACTCGATGTTGTGTGTTAGGTTTAGTCGAGGGTCATTACTGGATGAAAATGATCTTAAATCAAGTCGAAAGCCTTGTTTCGACCACTTTTGATATCCGGAAAAACCTTTGTTGCTATTTCCGACCACTTTTTACTTATTACTTTCAGGTGGTCAGAAATTTCATAATTTCGAGCAGTGGGTTATTCTCGGCTTATTACTAGCTAGCTAGGTAGTTAGCTACCCTTTTCTACTGCATTGATGCAATGGGGTTTCACCAATAGTGTATGTAGGGTTATCCTCAAGAATAGTAACAAATGTAGGATTGTTTTGGTGAGTGTTGCAAAGCCATGCTCACGTGAGTAAGAGTATCACTTCGGGAAAGTACATTCACATGCAATTGTGACAGGACCAGAACAAAATAAAGCTTATTTAAATCACAAAGTTGGATGATAATTGCACCATCCAAATTCATGTATGTACAGTTTATGTAGTGACAAACTTCTGATTCATTGGCTATTAACATTGTTTATATATATATAAACCCAGACTAAATTAAAACAAACCCGGATTAATGCATTTTAACCCGGATTAGGTTTGTGTTATAAGGAAATGCATGATTTTTCATGCAGAAATATTAAAGCATATGAATATATGATGATGCAGACCTGAAGAAATGGCCGGCAGGCAAAATCTTTTCATGTTTGCAATCTTGATCTTCATTCACATATAAACCACAGCAGCACAGAACATTTGACAGCTATATCATTTTTGTTTCATTCTAACTAAATATTATTCTCCAGATAAAGTTTCTGGGTATTAATTTTTTTTTTTATAAGAAAACTTGCCGCCCCTACCTGAAGGTGCACTGTACTTTAGGCCAGCAAAGTCAGTCTTATGACCCTAGCTAGCAAAGGACCACAAGGACGTAAACCAGCCTAGGTTACCATAGCTTAATTACCGGCTCAAACTAACCAATTAAGAAGGTTTTATCACCTTAACCAGCAAAGAATGACAAGAGACCACAAGGCTAGAGGTAAACTAACCTAGATTGGGATGGCGGACCGGCTCAAACCAATAAGGCTAATAGGCAATTCCTATAAGTAGAGCTGTCCCAGCCAACTGTCCAACCAATTCAATCTGGGTGGAATTGCCCAGGAATTAAATAATTTTAACTATTGACATTATATCACAGCCATTGGAGTCTTAATCTTGATCTTGGACTCACACATACAGGCCGGCTGCAGCCATGTGAGGACCATGCATGAATTGACATAGTCTGGCCTGCAAGGTTCCTGGCAACTTTAATTTGAGCTGATATGAAGATGGCTAGCTATATATATGATTCTATTTAATTTTTAATGTATAATTATCTCACATCATATATTATTTATGTATATATAATTATATATATACTGAGAATCTGTGTCCTACTTCTCATCACACTTCAAATCCATGTCAAATCTGCAAGTATCTGAACCATATACATATATGTGTGTGTGTGTTTGTTTTTTCTAGCTAGCTCAAATAACTCTTCCATGCATGTGAATGCAACTCTCGTGGTCATCATTTGTTTCATGTTCTGTGGCATAGAAATTCTAGCCGGCTCGGCTCGAGAGCCAAATTCAGTATCCTGTCACACTTTTATATATATATATATATATATATATATATATATATATAGTTATGCTCTCCCGGATCGCTAACTTATTGGACGAAGGTCTAGAAAGTCAAATTCAGCATCTTGTCATGCTACTGGACATTCAATATGTGATATTCAACATGCCTTATCAATACAACGCTGACTACTATGTTAGTATAAAGAAATGTAGAAGATATAATTACAAAATATTAAATTATTAAATTATTTAAAAACTCGTCTTTCCAAAATATAATTACCATCAAATTAAATTATTGAGCTATATTGCATATTTTGTCTGAATGCCCCCTTCTACCACATTGATTATGACTAGTAGCAAAATGGCCAAATTTTGCCACCATTCAGGTCATGAGATATATAAATTTAAATCTTGAACGGACTACACAAATTAACCCAAAACAGAAAAAGGGAAAAACATGTATATATGGAGCATGTCCCATCAACAGTATGGGAAGATTCACAGGAAAAAACAGCACAACCACAAAATGGCATGGCGGCCATAGCCCGTAGATAACTTGAAACAGTTAGTAAATCGACGGTTAATACAACTGAAGGATATATACGTCTTCCGGACAGTGGTCCAGTGGTTAAAAAACGACACTTAAAATTAATTATTTTCATTTCCATTGGTCCATGCCAGGAGTTCTTTGTACCTTAGTGTTGAGTCTTGAAACTAGCTAATCAAACTCGATTTACTTACTCATAGATCTTGGAGGCTAGCTCGTTCATCGGTCCAATATGTAATTTTGCAAAACTGAGATATATGGGTTAATTATAAAAAGAAAAAAAAAACTATAAAGGATATTGTCATTTATTAATTAAATAATTCTATATTTTCCATGTCATTTTCAGTATTGTGCGTGTGGACTTTTGCAAAGTCATAGGAACCACCCGACCAGACATTAAATTGAACTAGGATATATAATATTTTACGGAGTTTTTTTCTTTTTCTATTATCAGATTATATATTTTTCTTGTTGTTGAGTTGAATTGCTCAAGGTATATATCTAGAATAACCACACACCTACGGCATATATCTAGAATATACGGAGTAATATTTAATGTATCGTTAGTTTATAGTATAGGTACTACACAGTAACAAGGAATTACATTCCACTAAAATGTTCCATTGACTATAACAAAATATCAGTTTAGTTCTGAAAAAACAGACATCTACCGCTAAAGAAACAAAAGATCAAATTAATTAAGGACTTAATTAGACAAAAAAAAAAAATTAAGGACCAAATTTGTAATTTCACTATGGTCAATGGACCATTTCGAAAATTAACACTACATTTTAATACTTGATACAACACAACAAAAGTTCCTATAACATCAATGTTACAAAAACCATACATATACCACTACACTTAGGTTATTGTACCAGATACAACACGACACCATTAAAGTTCCCATGACATCATTACAAAAACCACATACCACTACACCTACGTTGTTGTACCAGATGAAGGAAACTGTAAATCGTATATATTCATAACACAAATAATACAAAGTATAAATCGAATGAGACATGAGCATAAACAGGAGGTAGCTACAACAACTAAAATACTTATTCTACAAAAGACTAAAGACAACTACTGCAACAAAAGGTATGGTCAGTCCACATACTATAAATCATGCCACCGCAAGATGGAGGATCCATCGGAGACGCCAATCTTGAACCAAAAAGACAAAAACGAACCACGACTAACCAGTAAAAGTTCCCGTAACATTAGTAGTGAATATTTATGCAAGTTGAACTAAATAGTTTGAAGACCCTATCAATGTAACACCACGTTGAATAACATTATAAAAGTTCCAATGTATCCTAGATTTCTTGCACTCATATTTGGTGACATAAGCAAATATAGTTAAATATGTATGGATGATAGACCAACCAAGAATGCCATTAATTATAGCTCGGTTGCTCCTATAATTTCATGTGCAGGAAACTGTAAACATAACAGAAATTTTCAAACTTCATGAATATCGGGAATCATTTATAAGATTATTGCACGTTTTCAACATAATTGAAGAATCAAGAACCGATACATGGTTGAACACTAATCTTAATCTGTTTACAGCAAAGGGACTATCTGACCTGATACTGTGAGAGGCTGGCAAAAAACGGCTCTCCGCAAATTTTTTTTTTCCTAGAAATGTTTTCAAACTGCAAAATCCGGTCAGTTCTTGATAATATAGGTTGATACATTGGAGTAAATGGCTGTTAGACTAGTCCCAACTGCGAGCACGATGACCAATACTGCCAACATCTTATCCCGCTTAGTACTTATATTGTGAACGTCTCTGCAAACGATTTTCACGAGTTATTGGAAGGATATAACGAGAAAAAACATAGAGAATTGAATTGAAGCATGTGCTCCATCTCAACTAAAAGCCTAAGCTAATAGTTGGATTGCAAATTAATGACTATATGCTCAACACGCCCCCTCACGTGGACCGTAGTCGCTTTGGCATGACTCTGTTACCAAATTGAAGCATGTGCTCCATCTCAACTAAAAGCCTAAGCTGATAGTTGGATTGCACATTAATGGCTATATGCTCAACAAATTGAATGAAGAGAAGCAAGATTTGCATCACGTGAAGTAAAGATTCAATTCACCTAAGAATTATCGAGCTGGGGAATATGAACATGAGGCACATGACGGTGGTTGTTCCCATGAACTGAAAGAAGTACCATATGTTCGGGATGGCAATTGCAGCTAGATACATGAACGCAAGAAGAACACCGGTGAGCGATAAAAACCTCGGGGTTTCTGTGGACAACAGAGGCCCTTTCGGGAATAACAGTTCGTCCACATTAACCCTGAGAGAATAATTCATGACGGGAAACACCAACATGAGGTGAACTGCATAACTCAACCGAACAACGATGTTAAGCAACGTGCCAACAAAGGAATCAGAATTTTGGTCGAAGTTCACAAGCATATCTGCCATGATTTCGTCCCCGAATAGCAGATAACCAAAGAATCCCACAGCAAAATAAATGGCAACACATAGCACTAAGGATATCCGCACTGCTGAGGTCATATCAGATGGCCTCCCGAGTTCTGCTCTGACTGGATGAACTGCAGAACGAAAACAAAACGAAAGGGTAATTTCGGAATCGACTATAGGATGCTGCATTTGCCATCGCATAAATCTTTTCATATCTTTGTAACCTAACATGCTCTTACCGTTTACATGGCATCCAAAGGCGGTGGCAAACACTGGAATCGTAGTGAAGAGATCAAAGAACGAGACTCCATTTGCAAAATCGGGAAAAAGCCTTAAACTTCCCGTCTTCCCTTTACACACATAATATATCGCCATCCCCGAGCATATGGCAACAAAAAGCACCGCTAGCAGAATGGATATTGCTGACGCATGTCTAAGTGAATCTATACAAATAAGAAACGTAACGAAATTTCAGTTCTTTATACCAAAAGGATAGATATATAAAGGCCAAGAGATCACTAACCTATACGCCGTATACAAAGCAAGGGAAGCATAACGAAAAGCACCACAATAAGGACGGAAAACGCCCGTGAGGTCCACCAATGGATGCCAAACCATTGCTGTAGGACACCAAGGTGCAGTGATCCATCAGAATCATTTCCCGAGAGGACATCTCCTATGAAAAAAGAAGCCACAAACTCAATCAATTTAAGAAAATACTAGAAAAAAAATTGCACAAGGGGGAAGCAACTATGCAAGGAAATAGGTAGAAAGTAGAAATCAAGAACTGATACCAGAAATTAGTAATAGTACTCACTGAATAATCATGGGATTAACTTCTTGGCCACAAATCAAAGAAGGTTTGACATTATTACCAATACAATATGTGAGAGTAGTAAAAGTGGAACTTGATTTTGAAGCTGTAAACTGTGCATGAAGCCATGAACAGTGTTGAACTGTTACATTCCCTTCCTTTTCAAATAAAAAATGCAATCTTTTCTTTTTGAGTGACTAGGAAATTGCAGCCACTACTAAGGGTGTGCACGAGTTAAGCCCCACCTTGTGAACTTAGCCGGTAAAAAACTATGAGGTAAACTAGCCTAGATATTTTCTAATTTACCAGCTCAAACCAATAAAGTTAAAAAGGCTTTGGGGGTGTTTGGTAAATAGTTGTTAGCTGTTAGCGGATTAGGTTAGTGGGTTTGAGTAATTAATAGCATTAGCTGATTATAGAAAGATGTTTGATAAATTAGCTGCTAGCTGATTACACGTAACTTGACTTTCTCAAAAAGCGGATCGAAAAAGTGCTTTGAACGCTTTTTGAATTTTAACATTTTGAAGCAATAAGCTGTTACAAAAAGCTAATTAATCAAGCAGTTATGTTTAACTAAATCAAATGGTCAAATAAGCCAAAATTGGCTGATAAGCTAACTATGTTACCAAAGGGCATGAGCAGTTGGAAAAAAAATGCAATCTTTGATCTTTAAGATACAAGTCTATAACACCCGGCTGAAAAACTGCAGAGTATAACAACAGCTATCTAGACAGCATCAACAGAAGATATGTATTGCAATTTGCAAGAATCAATTGAAACCATAAGATATAAGCATTTAAGAACACAAGAGATTGTTGCTTACCAATGATGATTAAGTAAATAATAAGGGCACCCAGGTTGGTAATCATGACACAAATCTGAAGCGCCATGGACCCAACTTTTCCAAAAGACTCAGCCATCAATCCACCATACGAATCCGTCTCGCCGCAGTTGCTATACTTCAAGAGGAAATCGACGGTCACCTCCACGAAATACGCCACGACCAGAATCACAAAGAAGCTGGGGATCACTCCCAGGACCTTGAAAGTTGCAGGGACTGACATAATCCCAGCGCCCACCATGCCCGTTGAGACGTTGAATATGGCGCCGCTTAGCGACCCACCCTCCGCTCTCTGGCACTCTATCGACGACGGTGACTGGCACGCCGCCGCAGTTGACAGAAGCGGTGCTCCGGCTCCGATTTCTTGGTTTTCCGGCTTCATGTTTGTCGGGTGAGTGGCGGTTGTTTTGGCGAGGTGTTCGAGTGAAATCTGCGCTTTTATAAATACCACTTTTTGGTGGCACCAAACACTCTAACAATCTTCTATCGAGTCTGCGCTTTTGTAAATACCACTTTTTGGTGGCACCTAACACTCTAAAACAATCTTCTATCGAGATTTTGGATTAATTACAGCGGTAGTATTATGGATTTGGATTAGATTTTGGTCACAAATTTGATAATTGATACTATATATTAAATATAGGTGTTGTTTGATGATATAGTAACCTTATCAATTAATTTTAACTTATTTAATTACTATTAGCTATTTGATTTGGTTAAATTTATTGAGTGTTTGATTAATTAATGAGTTAATACCCAAAATCGTCCTCGACTATAGTGGTTTTTCTTAATTTCGTCCTAAACGACTTTGGTGACCTAATATCGTCCCAGACTTTTGTGTTTCGCTCAATTTAGTCCCTCATTTGTTATTCTGTCCATTTGGTGTTAAATAAATAGACAATTCAGTAATTTTAATATTGACATCTCTTTACTCATAGACATGTAAACTGCGAAATCCCTTTTTTTTTTACGAATTACTCCAGAATTACTCCTAAAACTGCGAATATAAAATTTGATTTGCAGGTCCGAGGAGTAAATCTGGGTGTAATTCGTACAAGAAAGAGGAATTTCGCACTTCACAAGTTGAAAGTAAAGAGAGATCAATATTGACATTACTGAATTGTCCCTTAATTTAACACCAATTTGACGGAATAACAAATGGAGGACTAAATTGAGTGAAACACAAAAGTCTGGGACAATATTAGATCACCAAAGTCGTTTAGGACGAAATTGAGAAAAACCACTATAGTCGAGGACGATTTTGGGTATTAACTCATTAATTAATTTTTTGTAACAGTTTATTACTTTAAAATGTTAAAATTAAAAAATTGTTCAAAATAATTTTTTCGATCAGTTTTTTGAGAAAGTTATCTTACATGTAATTAACTAACAGCTCATTTCAAAAAAAAAAAAAAAAAAAAAAAACTAACAGCTAATTTATTAAACATTTTTCTACAATCAGCTAATACTATCAACTAGTCAAATATACTAATTCAATTAGCTAACATCTATTTACCAAACACCCCCTATAATTTGGGTGATCAATTATATTCACAAGAAAAAAAAAAGATTTGATTTGATTTGATTGGTCCGAAAAGAATCTCTAATAATTGAATAGATCATGATTTGTGTATTTGAAAATCATAAGTTTTTGCTAACGTCTTTTCAGCAACTTATCCGTTACACAAAGTTTTTTAATTCCACACATTTGTCGTGAATTTTTATGATTATCTAAAAATGAAAAAGATTTGATTCAATGAACTACAAGTGATGTTACGTAAATATATTTTTTTTTAGAAGAGTTACGTAAATATTTTATGAATCTCCATCCTGTCATTGAAAGTGCGTTATGAGAATATACCATCAGTATTTGAGTGTAAAATTATAAATTTTATTTTTCTGTAATAATCCGTAAATTACAGAAATTAGATAAACTAAATTATGAAGATTTTGTATAACGTGTAACGGTGTGACAAGATTTTATGTAACCGACTTGATAAAAAAACTGTTAACAATAATTAAACATGTGACCAATAAGAGTCATATTACATCAATTCAATCATCCTTTCATGATTACATTTTGATAAAGATCGAATAGTGAAAGGGGATAGATGGTGTGACAAGCAAACAAACTTATGGATGATTGACACACACATGAATATTATCTTTTCGTTGTAGTAATTTGAGTCCTAAAGTAAATGAATCTTCTTTAAATATACAACAGACACGACAATGACTAGTAGAAGAGTTTATCATGTTTAGTTGAATGGATAAAAATAACAAAAGAAATTTTTTTTAAAAAAAAAAAAATTAGACCAATAATGTTTGAACACGTAAAAGAAATGCAATTACCACTTGAAATTAAATTATTACATGTTGCATGTAATCATCATCTAGTTAATAGATGGATGATTAACCCATTACTTATTACTTAATTGGATATATAAAGGATGACTATCTTCATTCATGAAAATGATAAGACTTCATTGACAGCTCAGTTAGTCACAGAGATAAAGTTTAGAAACAATGATCCAATATCGAGTCTCACTAGTAGCAGTGTAAGAGCAACCTCTCAAAGTGAAGGGAGTTTTTTGTGCGCAATAATCAAACTCTACCCTTTGTGTTTGAGTTATCATGATTTATATCCTTCAAATGCTCTGTTGGCCCAGAACGAGGATCGTTGGAATTGGAGATTCAACTTTTTGAGAACAATGATTTAAATGATGGCGTAAATTGTGTTAAAACAGTAATGACTGCTAAAACAACGTGTTTCTTGTGTAGTTGGATGTCATTAACAAACACTCATTTTGAACAATAAATTGTTACAAAAAATTTATTAACCAAACACTCATATTAACTATTTAATTAAATTAAACGGTTAATAATGGTCAAACAAATTAAAATTAATTAATAAATCAACTATGTTACCAAACAATAACTAAGTTTAATTTGAGGAATATACATTCATTGAATGGTAAGAAACAATTGGAATAAATGAATCATTGTTGCATGTGAAAGAATCTTTGACATCTAGGCTACGAATAATTATATACTCCGTTGTTCAACAAAAATAATTTTATACTCCGTAGTATATTAATGTACATACATTGTAAGAGACATATATTAAGAAGAATAATTGTCTTGATGTTAGATGCATGGCATTTTAACATGTGCTTAGTTGGTAAGAAAACCTTGAAATTCATATTATAAATATCAATATCAATATAAAAGATGCGTGATTTATAATGTGTTTTCTATTTAAATCATTTTATCCAATTAATTTTATGTTTTATATTTTATTATAAATATATTTTATCATGTTTTGAAATATTTTGATTTCTCGTGTCAGTCAAAAAGATTGTATCTCCACCCAGGTTTATAAGCATTGTTTTATAACTTTTTAGTAATAATTAATTTATTATTTGTTATGATAGTAATGTTATTGTTTGTAATGACATCTTGGTTACCATTTCAATTGGGTGGTTATAGGTTCGAACCTTGGTGGTGGGGTTTAGATTATTTAGGTTCGAACCTCGGTGGTGGGGTTTAGATTATTTAGGTTTAAAATGTTTAAAAAATATATATAGAATATATACTACTTTGTAAAGAATAATGAGTATTTCAAAAAAAAATGTTGATGTTTGTAAGTTTATTTGATTTTAAATTGTTTATTCGTTTTTATAAACTATAATTATTTATTTATGAAGACACCTAATTTTTTTTATGATTATTATTGTATATGTAAAATTTTTAAAAACTTGTGAATATTATTTATAATTATTTGATATTGGTATGTTGTAATTTAAATTTTAAGTATGAAAATATATGTTAACTTTGAGATAGACGGTTTTTTTTTTTTTTTTGGCATGTCACGGGCGTATAGAGGAGTATTAACTGCATTTAAATATTGTACCATACTACCATCATAGAGGAGTATTAACTACATTTAAATATTGTACCATACTACCATCATACGGCGAATGCTTATAAAACCAAATTTAAGTTAAATACGTGGACGGCAGGATTCGAACCTGCGCGGGCAGAGCCCACATGATTTCTAGTCATGCCCGATAACCACTCCGGCACGTCCACCGTTGCGTGAAAAAGGTAAGGGCCAGCAATTTCTATAAAAGGTTTAAAATTCTTGGGCTTAAAAGTGCGGTTATTTTGGGCCTCCTCAAAGCCCAATAAGAAACCGTCAAGGGCCCAATAGATGGAACATTCGCATCTGTACACGGTTGCCTTTTTTTCCTCATTTTCCATTTTTTCCTTCAATTCAACGTTTCCATCTCTCATTTTTGCTCCCTCACAGACCACAATGGGTGATCAGGTTGCCAGAGGAGAAGAATTCGAGAAGAAAGCCGAGAAGAAGCTCAGCGGATGGGCGCTCTTCAGCTCCAAATATGAAGACGCCGCTGATTTCTTCGAGAAAGCCGCCAATTGCTTCAAGCTCGCTAAGTCATGTACTTTTTCTTTTCCTTTTCTTTTCAAATTGCATATTTGTTCCATTCTTATATCTGTCCTGCGATTTACGCCTCGGTATTTCGATCGGATTGCGCGATTTCGTTTTGGTCCGATCGTAAATGATGGATTGGTTTTATCTCCTGGATAAATCGTAATTTAGTGGCTTTTCATGCTGAATCTCTTGGAGGGAGGGTGGTGGATTCGGATTAGTCTTATACTCTTATCTGAATCCTGATCAATTTGGTTGGTTATTATGTTGGATACGTGCGGACAGTCTAGCTCAAAGCTGGATTTAAGGATGTAAACTTTGTCCTTTTCGTGATGCATTTGGAAAGAATGATGCAGAAAATCTACTTTATTGTTTAATCTTCTTAAATGGTGTGATCGGCTCATTTAATGAGACGAATTAATAGGCAGCTTGGAGGGCAGTAATTTGTTTGGTTTTCTGTTACTGACTTTATGAGATGGCTTGTCTTGTCAAGATTGATATTGTATGTTTAATTTCTAGGCTTGCAATTTTATAAGTATATGAATTAATTTTCACAGATAACTGGTGCTCTTGAATCTTCATTATGTTACTTGTTAACTTTTGCAATCAGAAAACAATGCTTAGTAGTGAAACATCAATCAACACTCTGAGTTCTGTTACATCCACTGAGCCATTATGCGTTATATCCGTGCCATGGTATGCCAACTAATTTGTTGCTTGGTGCTTCTTGTTTTAGGGGATCAAGCTGGAGCGACATATGTCAAGTTGGCCAATTGTCATTTGAAGGTATTTGTTTGGTCTAGCTGGTGTGTGTGTGTACAATGTTTTGCCTGTCATAGTCTTCTAAACTTCTTTTACATTCCTATTTGATTTCATTTTTTCAGCTGGACAGTAAACATGAGGCTGCTGGTGCATTTGCTGATGCTGGTCACAACTACAAGAAGATAAATACTAGAGGCATGTACATAAATTTTGCTTTAGAAGATATTCATGCCTTGAAAGTTAAAGATCGTTCCTTTCTATATTTATCTAGGTCCATTTCTTTTCTTAAAGAGACGTTATCTAAATTTACTTGTAAATATGAAAATTTTTAGAATTTAGTTGGTTGGAAATTGCAACGTGTTTCTGAGAAATTTCCTTTAGGATTCAAGTTTTCACATTGGAAGGTTGGGCCTGTCACAATGGATAGGTGCTCGGGCATTGTTCATTAGCCCTAGTAAACAAGCTCACAGAGAACAAAGTAAAGCTAGCTTACATCTGGCTTCTCCAATCCCTACTCTTTGGGTTTGAATTTTCTAGTTTAAGTTTACATATTGTTAAACTAGATTGCCTCCTTTTGACTCTTGCATATTCTTTAAGGTTATATATGTACTTTCTATATTTTACTTTAGTTACTATGTACTGACTTCACGATTTGTGAGGACTTTGGGAAAATGGATGAGAATAGATTTTTCTTTAGCATTTTGGCACAGATTTTTGCAATGACTAATATGTCTCAATATTTTCTGGCCCATTTTCTCTGCATCTTCAGAGGCTGTGGATTCTTCCTTTTGTTTCTTTTCTATTCCTATTTATATAAAACTGAATGAATCTTATTTCTGAACAATGAATATGTTGCAGAGGCTGTATCTTGTCTAGAACATGCAGTAAACTTATTTCTGGAAATTGGGAGGCTGAATATGTCGGCAAGATATTACAAGGTATATATCTATGTCAGTTTTACAAGAAATGGAATTAATTTTCTTTCATGTTTAGAAATATTAATACTTATTTCTTTGTCAATCTAAGCACAAATTTTTGAAAAATTAATGCATGTATTTGTGTATGTAGGAAATTGCTGAAATATATGAGCAAGAGCAAAACCTTGAACAGGCCATTGCGTACTATGAAAAAGCAGCTGATCTTTTCCAAGCAGAGGATGTATCCACAACTGCAAATCAGTGCAAGCAGAAAATTGCACAATTTTCTGCTCAGTTAGAAAAGTAAGCCTACCAACTGCCATATATGGCATAGTTTGCTTGAGGAAAAAGAAATTTAAAGCCTTGTTCGTATTCTCGTGTGTATGTTCAATGATTATAAAAACTAGGCTGCGTCTCAAGATTCAAATTGTGACTGTTTTATCAGATATCCAAGAGCAATTGAAATATTTGAGGATATAGCACGGCAATCTGTTAGTAACAACCTGTTGAAATATGGAGTTAGAGGGCATCTTCTTAATGCTGGTATTTGCCAACTATGTAAAGGTGATGTTGTTGCAATTAACAATGCTTTAGAGAAATACCAGGTAAAAGTGTTTCTCTTGTTAATGTTTTGGGAATTTCTTTAGGATGTGATACATTTAGGTTAATGTTGAATTTGAATTTTCAGGATCTGGATCCATCATTCTCAGGGACAAGGGAGTTCAAACTACTAAGTGTATGTATAACTCAGTCGTTGTTTTTTTGTATTCTACTTAGTTTTCTTTGAAATGATTAATGTATTTGATCAGATTGCACTGAATTCCATGTATGGTTGGAAGATGCTGTATCTTTCTTCTATGCCCACCTTCCTGAAGAGAGAATTTTTTTTGATATTCTAATTCTCTTATCCAATAAACACAAAATACATAATGTACACATGTACATAAATTTTCCCTGGGTGAAAGATTCCTGAAAAAGAAGATCCAATAATATGGAGATCACTGACAGTCAGAAAGGATCCTCTTTGAGCTAAGACCATTCATAGCAAGAAATACCTTAACCCCAAAAACTTGTAGTGCTATTTGCTTATTCCTTGAAAACTCTCAAATAATTCTTCCTGAAGATCATACTTTTTTTTTTCTTCTAGCATTTGCTTCATCTGGCTTAGCACACCACTTAAATTGGCTTTACTTTCATTTCAATTTGAAATTGTTGGTTCTCAACTACTCTCTCAAACTTGTTTTCTCATTTGTGAATGTGACTTCAATTTTTGCTGTGATTAGTGAAATCGATACTGAACATTGCATTTCTGATGCAGGATCTGGCTGCTGCATTGGATGAAGAAGATGTTGCAAAGTTCACTGATGCTGTCAAGGAATTTGACAGCATGAGCCAACTGGTAAAATTGAATCTACCATTTCAATCTTATATCCTATTCTTGGATTTGATTTTGTTTAGTTGAGGTTTAAACTTTCAAGAGGTAGTTTGTGGATGGCACTAGTCAAACGCATTAATTTATATTCTTAATTAATAGCCTAATATTTACCCTTTTTATTGAAATGATTTTTATACCCAAACAAGTCATCTTCCTAAGTCCCATGTTTAATATTTACATGAGTATTAATAATAAAATTGCCTATAAAAGATGTTTGATCTTCTTAAAATTGCTCATCACTATTGTTTCAATTATATTTCCAAACAATAATCATTATTTTTTGAAAAATTACTTTGAATTATTTATCAAATAAATGTTTATCATATATTTAGATATTTGAATTGATATGTTTTCCAAACTAAAGAAGAATATAACACTGCAATCTTTGAGTTACTGCTGAATATATTTTATGTGCTGCTTTAGAAAAACTAGAAAGAAATATTCACAAGAATAGGTGGTTCATGAACTTGGACTTGGAGTGTTGTGTATACTGGTAGAACCGTAGAAACACATACTTGGGGGAGTTGTAGGTAGCGATATGATAGACCGCAATCAAACTAGAGATGGTTTACCATGCCATTCATAACCGTGTTGTTTCTACTGTGTGTCATTCCACAGGATGCTTGGAGGACCACCCTTCTGCTTAGGGTGAAGGAATCGATCAAGGCAAAAGAACTAGAGGAGGATGATCTTACTTAAACTCGGTTCTTTTGACAGTGGATGTTATGTGGTTTGTGGGTTATATGATGATGATTTATTCTAGCAGGGTGGTGTATGGTTTTTATTGTTCTCACTTATCTTCCAAGTATTTCTGCATGCTTTAACTTTTGGTTCTTTGGAGTGGAATATTTGCGATGTATGTTGACCATTGAGTTTGAGATTGAATTATGCCCTATTACTGGTTGTTGAAGATTTCATCAACTTCTCATCATATCCCTGAAGCTGCTACATTTGTTGTTGTTGTTGTTGTTGTTGTTGTTGTGTGTTATTTTGGTTTGGTTTTCTTATTTCTTTTAAATAATAAACTAACAAACTAACAAATTGAACTCTAAACTAACAGGCCATTTGGTTGCAACAAGGGAATTATAGAGGAAATAGAGGAAATGAATTGTAATTTTTTGGAAAAAGTTAAGGTGGAAATAAAGTAAGAATTCAAATTTTATTGGTTGGTATATAAAAATGGAATTTACTGAAATTTTCAATTATAGTATATATATGAATTTAAAACTTACTTTTGCTTTATTAAATTTATACCCATATACATCTATCACTTCAAATATTACTTATATTTTCAAAATTTTATTAACTCTCAAAAATATAGGATATCATCAATCAAGAATGACTGCGGAATTCTTGTGTCATAAAATTAAAAATCAAACATAATAAAATAAACTCCATAATCCATAACTGCGGAGTATATATATAGTATATAGAGTCACATGTTTCTAGAATCAAATTTTAAACTAAACAAAGCGCCTCCGGCCTCCAGTCAAAAATGGACAAGTCTCAAAGTTAAACTTTAGATTACGCGGTTTGAACTTTTGAATTAGGTTATGCTTGTCTGACATCATTTCAAGAAATACTAAAATAACACTAAAAAAAAAAAAGCTAAAGCGTTGGCTGCTGCTCATCCTCTTTGGTAAAACTTGTACGCTTGCTTTTAATGGGAAGGGGAAACTCTTCTAAAGTTTCAATCTTTGATTCAAATTATTCCTACCCATGAGATCTTCTTTGAATCAAATTTAAAGGGTATGCATACTGTTCTCCATCAAGCTTCAATTTTTATCTTCTTGGCCCTAGTTTTGAGCTGCCCAGAGAAGTGAGTTGAATTTGTCATGTTTAGCAGTCCTTTTGGATTTTTCTTCCCATTCATTTTCTACCAAATGTATGTTTGACATTTCAGCAGTCTTTCACGAAAATTCATAGAGATTCTCTGGTTGAGTAGGTGTCTTATTTTACAATTTCCACAGCTTAGCTTTGCTGGTTGTGAGCTGCATATCGAGGAGTATAATGTACAGAATGTGATCTGCAGCTCTGCAAAATTCACCAGTTTTGGTTTCTTAGCTTGAGAAAGTTCATAGAATTCAAGAATGGCGGCCACAGATAAAGATTCCAAGACCCACAACGCTCTGCAAGTTTCAACATCTCAAAGGGGGCTAATAAGTGAGGAAGATCCTGAAAAGCAAGTGCAGGGTCGTAGTGTTCTTGCCCTTCCCATTCCCAAGAGGCTGCAGTTCCTAAAGTTGGGTTCTTTGGCTTCTCCACCTGCTAAGTTTCAGCAGATTCCTAAGGAAAATGATGGTGTTCGAATCCGAGACCGCTTGAATAGGTTGTTTTCTAGGAAATTTGTTTGGAAAATTTGCAGGGAATGGATAAGGAATCCTCTCAACATGGCACTTCTGATATGGATTGTGTGTGTTACTATATCAGGTGCAATACTCTTCCTGGTAATGACAGGAATGTTGAATCATGCCCTCCCCAAGAAGTCTCAGAGGGATATCTGGTTTGAAGTGAACAACCAAATCATCAATGCACTGTTTACTCTAATGTGTTTGTATCAGCATCCAAGAAGGCTATATCATTTCGTTCTTCTGTTCCGATGGAGGCCAGCCGATATTTCTTGGCTCAGGAAGGTTTACTGCAAGAATGGGACTTGCAAGCCCAATGAATGGGGTCATATGATGGTGGTTGTTTTGCTTCTAAACCTCAATTGTTTTGCTCAATATGTTCTTTGTGGACTTAACTTAGGGTACCCTAGATCAGAACGCCCCGCTCTTGGAGTGGGAATATGTCTGTCGGTTTCAATTGGGGCACCTGCAATTGCTGGGGTTTACTCTATGATTAGCCCTCTTGGCAAGAACCACGAAACCAGGCTCGATGAGGAAGCAGAAATGGAGACGACGAGAGCCATTGAGGCTAGGGGGGAGTGGAGTGGAGGGGTTTTCGATTTCTGGGATGACATATCCTCAGCATACCTCTCTTTATGTTGCACATTCTGTGTTTTTGGGTGGAACATGGAGAGGCTCGGGCTTGGGAACATGTACGTTCATATCGCCACGTTTATGCTCTTCTGCATGGCGCCGTTCTGGATTTTCACCCTGGCTGCTGTTAACCTCGATAACGAATCTGTGAGAGCAGCATTGGGGGTCACTGGCATTCTCCTATGTGTGTTTGGTTTGATGTATGGTGGGTTTTGGAGGATTCAGATGAGGAAGAGATACAATTTGCCTCCTTACAGTTCTTGCTGGGGTGAACCTTCTGTTGCAGATTGTGCATTGTGGCTTTTCTGCTGCTGCTGCTCTCTGGCTCAGGAAGTTAGGACTGGGAATTCATATGAGAAAATGGTTGATCAGAAACACCCAAATTTTATTTCACCTTTGCCCAGGGAGGATGGGTTGTTTAGGTCTAATCCTATGGAACCTCCTGCTCCTGTAATTGTTACAAGAGACGATGTTTAACGGGGAACAGTTTTGACGGATTGACTCTTGTATCTGTATGTCACGTTAAAGAGTTTAAAGTTATGATTTTTTTGGATCTGGGTCAAATCTGGATTAGTCGTCGAGATATCGAGTGTCATATGCTATGATAGTGTAGATTTGATCATGTTAGTCAAATGCTTCCATCTTCCTTTCCATTGTATTTGTTGTATATAAATGTAACCCCCCCCCCCCCCCCCCCCCCCATAACACCACTGAAATTTTCAATCTTGAAATTCTGAGAGAAGTTATCCATCTAAATATATTCTACAATTGAATTCAAAGTTTCAGAATTGATGATTTTTCTTTTATACAACATTCAATATTACCACCATTAAAATTAGTCTGGGTTGCCTTACAAAATTTTACTCTTATCTAAAAATAAGTCTAACCCAAAATTCTTTAATCCGAGGTATAGAATTGAGTTTCAACTTTACAATTGCATTGTCTATTAGCATTGTTTATAGAACTGTAGTTGCACAGTTACATAGTTGATAATAGATTAAATCTGACGATTGATTTTTAGTTTTTAATGGATTAGATATGTTCACACCGACTTATAAAAAGGGGTGGACTTATTTGAAGACCGGCCTATAAAGTATAAAAGTGTAAAGTAGATGATGAAAATATGAATATGATAAATGGGCCGATAAATATATTATTGGGCTTCATTGTGAGATTGATTGTTGGGTGGTTTATTAAATTAGCTTAATTATTTAATTGGCCCTAATGAATTTTTTGGGTTAATTAAGTTAGCCGCTACCCGATGATATATTACGGATATACGAATAAAGTTTACTTTGTAATTTTTGTCGACAAAAGATTATAAGGATTAAGGAGATAAATCAATCTATGACAGTTCCCTTAATAAATTTAAAATATTATGATTATCGAATTAATTGGTCGACTTAATTCTTGATTGTTGGATGCAAGTAAACATGTTTTCCAATTTTTCATTTTCTAATCCTCTAATTCTTCAATCCAATTTTTACGAACCACTTAAACATTGGCACATTAGTATTGACACCTCTGCAAAATTGCAGACATCAGCTAGGTATGTCAAAAGTAGGGAGCCGAAAGACAAAAGTATGAAGTATCCATCCACTTTTGTCTGTCTTTCTTTCAACTACCCAAGGTTTAGTTTAAGGAATTATTGCCTCCATGAATTGGTTTCTGCCAAAAAGATATCATCATTCAATTCCATGATATAATACATTAATTAATTAATCCTTAATACTTTAAGGTTTGTCTGCTTCTTTTCATTGATTTAGTTGCTTCCATGCTTCATGACTAATACAAAATCCACCATTTTCCATCTTTCATGGTGCCCTCCACATAGATTTCTCTTCTCTCTCTCTCCTACAATTCAATTATATATATATATATATATATATATATATATATATATATATATATATATATATATATATATATATATATATATATATATATAATTGTAAGTCAGATGTGTCTGCTACTATACTGCCATAATATAGTTTATTGTTTCTGGAAATCTTAGTGATGAATGATGCCATATAGTTGTAAAAACCAGACACTGTGTGAATGTTTTGTGAACATTATAATTAATGTTTTGTCTGTCTTTTTTTTCAACTACCCAATTCAAGGTTTAGTTTAAGGAATTATTGCCTCCATGAATTGGTTTTCTTTTGTTGTTTTGTAATGGTTTTGAGTATGCTAAGAATATAATGAAATGGAAAGTAAACAAATGGTGCATGCAGTAGTGCAAAGCTAGCTAACTACTATGTGGGAGGTCATGAGATCGAGTCTCAGTGGAGGCATTGTAGGTTGAGACAATATGTTTGAACAGATATTATAATGTAATAGAGTCAGTAGCATTCTAGACATTCTCAATTTTAGTCTGTTAGTTATGGACACTATGGTCAAGTTAGTTTATCTCATTGTGATCATTTGGTAGCTAAAATTACAATAATGCATGCTTCGTTTAGAACACACCTTATGATAATAATTGTAACTAGACTTTTCCGTAAATCATAGTAATATAATGCCTTTGCACAAGCTAAGTACTATATATGTCTTCCATTGTGTAGGGTGAAAAATGGTGGGAGCTGAGTCTTAGTGGGAGTAATTATCATACTAAACAATGAATAAAATGGTAGGTTTTCTTTGTGGAGTCATCCCATTTTACTTTTATTTTTATAACTCATTTTACTTTTATTTTTATAACTCAATCAATACAGATTACGTGAGAAAATATATACATACTCTTATGAGTATAATTAATAATTTTCAATAACAATATATTGTACATTTTTAGGAAAAATCCATGACATTCTACCAGTGTGACATAGATAAAATATTGAATTATTTACCTATCATGATATTCACTTAGTTATTTATTATTTTATATTCATTATTGACACAGTATTTTACAGTAACTTCTTCAATTATCAACACGTTATGGGGGAAAATGACAGCAATGAAGATGGAAAAGAAGAGTGGAGTGATGTACACAAATGGTGATGGTGATGTAGAGTGGTCCTTGTTAAGATAAAGTAGAGGACCTGGAGTAGGCAATTAATATATAATTATTAGGAAAATACAATGTTTAAAATAGTTAGTAATTATGGTCCCGTTTAATAAAATAGTTAGCTTATTAGTCAATTTTGACTTATTGATTACTATTAGTTGTTTGACTTGATTAAATAACCAATATGAGTGTTTGATTAATTAATTTTTTGTAACAATTTATTGCTCTAAAACACTAAAATTCAAAAAGTTGCTCAAAGCAACTTGCCAGCTTTTTGAAAAAATCATTTTGTATGTAATCAGCTATCAATTAACATCTAATTTATCAAACATTTTTCTACAATTAGTTAATATTTTCAATTAGTCAAACTCACTTCACCAATCAGCTAACAACTATTTACCAAACACTCATGCAAGTTTGAAGTTCAAATTTACAAAATAAATGGTACAAAGATAGATGTGATATATTAAAAATAATGGGATGATGTAACATAAAGGACCAACACAGGACCAAATTGATGTGCGCCCATTTTTCCAATGAAGGGGATGACAATTCACATTTTTTCTTTATTTTTCAAGAAAAAAAAATATTGTTTTTTACTTTATTCCAAGCACCAATTTTATGAGGCTTTTATTTATTTATTTTTTTTTAGTACCTAATTATAATGCACATGAAATGCTAGAAATTCACATTTATCCTTATCCCTTTACTATTTGCGTGAATGCGTGATCAAAGATGCATCTAAATAATGATGCATAATTCAAATAATTTTAGTTTCAGTTTTGTCGATCATATAATTTATCTCAAATCTTTATAATATGATAATAAAGAAAAATTATTTAGAGACATAATATAATCAAAAGTGCACACTTTAATCTACACTACCGAAATGTGACCATTTAACCATTAATAAAGTAATTATTGATTTTCCTACAAAGTTCATAATTACGTCCTTATTATCCAATCAAGTCCTTCTTTCCCTACCCTAATAAAAATGACTTATTACATGACTATGGTTCTAATTTTAATTTTGAAGTCTAACAAGTGCTTTCAGCTGAATGTATTTTTTCCATTTTTTTTCTTCATGATTTCAGCCCTCTTTTTTTTTTTTCATTCTTTTTTTCCCATATTCCCGCATTTTAGCCTTCCTTTTCCCCCATTATTTCTTTTTCTTCCTTTTTCGTTTTTTTCCCCACATATTTCAGCATTTTTTTTTTCCTGTTTTCAGCATTCCTTTTCCCCCCTTTCATTTTTAGTTATTTTCCGCCTTTCTCTCCGGCTCCTTTTTCCTATTATTGTTTTCTTTTTAAAGAATATTTCCAACTCTCACCGACTCTGCGAAATCCTATTTTGTATTAACTAAAATAAATGAGTTAATCATTTTTTATCATAAATTTATAGTCGTCAGTCCATTTTTAAATATTTTTAAAATATAATGTTGTCAAAGTAGGTCGGCAAGATGGACCCATCTCTTAGTGAGACCTATATTCTCAACCCAGTCCCACCTTATTAGGTGATGGAATTGGTGGCATGATGAAATAATCATGTTTTGATAGTTCTATTTACACACTAATATAAAATATTACATTAAAAATATATATATTAAAAATATGTGACTCTTACCACTTACCATGAGACGTTAGCTCATGTGAAATATACATGAGATCAAAATTTTATTCTAATGTGTATCTAATTACATTTAATCGAGACTCACCTGAATTAATTCCGATTTTGAGCAAGGTGATAGGTCAAGAAGGGTGGGCAACTGGCCCCAGCAATTTTAACGTCGGCCCCACATTCCAGCCAAAGAGATACCGCCACGCCATCTGCGTGTTTATAAATTTGGATTTCCTAAAACACCCTTGATCTGCGCGTATGAAATGACGAAAACACCCTTCCGTCTCCCTGTAATTGCCTATATAAACCCGCCCACCTTCCTATCACAGAATCCTCACCTTTTCTCAAAGGTTTGTTCTCTTCTTCCTCCATAAGAACAACACTTCTCTCTCTCTCTGTATCTATCTTTTTCTCTCTCTCTCTGTCTTCCGGTCTGGCTAACATTCAGGAAACTCTGGAGGAGACCAGAAACAAGAGGGTGGTGCTCGCCCTGTATGAAGCCTTGAGCTCCCGCGACGTGGATTTGGTCCAGAAACTTCTGGCCTCTGACCTAGAGTGGTGGTTCCATGGTCCGCCGTCCCACCAGTTTTTGATGCGCATCCTCACCGGCACTGCAACCGCCGGCGATTCCTTCCGATTTGAGCCCCTCAAAGTCGACGCCATTGGCCCCACCGTGTTCGTCGAGGGCCAAGACCTGTCTCGCAACATCACCTGGGTCCACGCCTGGACCGTCACGGATGGGATAATCACCCAGGTCCGCGAGTACTTCAACACCTCCCTCACCGTCACTCGCTTCGGCAACCATTCCGCCTCCGCCGCCGCCGCCGCTATCACTCCCCTCCACTGCCCTTCTGTCTGGGAGAGCAGCCTCCCCAATCGGGTTGGGAAATCGGTCCCGGGTCTCGTCCTCGCAATCTAACCCGACCCGATCCATTCCCATAAATAAAAAATAAAAAGCGCGTGTTTTTATTTCGTATGGGCTGAAGGGGCACCGTCGGATCTTGCGTCTGCGAGGATGTGAGATGGACGGCTAGGATTCGTCGTCCCTGTTTCGTTTGACGTTTTTAGTTTGTGTTTTGGTTTGCGTTGCGTGTGGAGTCCGACCGGCCATGATGGTCCGACGACGACGACACGCAATATGCGTGTCGGATGATACGTACGATGTATCTCGTGTTTGGTTTGCAATAAACTCGTGTTTGTTGGATTGGCTAATAACTGCTTTCGTTATCCCCGTTTTTGTTCCGAATAATGCTATTCTTTTTACACCCACATTTTTGTCGGAATCCAAATCCAATCCGACACCGCATCACTAACTAATCCAACTTGACCACATGCATCAATAACTGACTGTTCTCTAAATATCTTAATATCATAATTTATTATCATAAATTAAGTGTGTAGTTTTTGAAATTGTAACTCCAATTAACAATGTTATTGTAAAATGTTGATAAAGTATGAAAAGTTCCAACTACTTAAAAGTGATTGAAAATTTAAAAAAATATATAATATATAATTGACTACTTTTTAAGTGATTGAAAATATGTGGTTCATGCTAATTTTTAATTAGATTTGGGATATGTATTATATATGACTTATCAAAGTTTGGTTCATAATCAAAGGGGATTCTTATCACTTTCTCACTATATATCTTTATTAAGCCGCACGCCACTTCCATATTACTTAATTGAGTAGTAATACAGTTAAAGAAAACAATTGATTTAAGACATTATTCGATCTTAAAGATTTGAGGAGACATAAATGTAAAGTATACTTAGTGTCGTGTTCAAGTAATCCCCTTAATTACTCTATGGTTTCTTTTTTTAGCTTTTCTTTTAAGGATTTTTTAGGTCAAAGTACCTACGAGGTCCCTGTACTATAACGTTTTGTTCAATTTAGTCCTTATACCTTTATTTTGTTTAATTTAGTCCCTGTACTTTAAAAAATGGTGTAATTAAGGACAATAGTTAATGGTGTTAATATTACGGCTAACTTAGGTTACGTGGCGCTGACGATATTTATATTCTTACTCATATATTTCTTTATAAATATTTAAAATTAGTTATTTTTACCACCAATATATTAAATTAGTATGTCTAAAATAAATAATTAAAACCATGTTTTTAATGAGATTTGGACAATTGTCCTTAGTTTCACCACTTTTTAAAGTAGAGGGATTAAATTGAACAGAATAAAGGTACAAGGACTAAATTGAACAAAACACTATAGTACAAGGACTTTATAGGTACTTTGACCGATTTTTTAATTCAATTATAGAAAGCAAAATTTGGGTTGGATCTCACTTGCCATAATGACGATGAATGTGTTAGACATGTTTATCCTAAGAATAAATATTTATTAGTTTGGACATTGATTTCTGATTAAATAAATATTTATTTATTTATTTATTTTATTTTAACTTAATTAATATTTGATTTATTTCATACAATTTTCTTAATTCTTCATTCAAGAGTTAAGAATATGAGTGATGAAAAATTTATTAATGATGTATTGTAAAAATGTTCCTAGTCATAGAAATTTTAATTGGGCATTAGAATTCTGATAAGACTAGCACATTATCCTTCTTATGGTGAGTCCCATGCTATTTCGTATGAGATACGCAGAGTGGACATGTGAATGATTGTTAGAGAACAAGTCATTGATCGAACAACGACTGACTACAACGTACCGCATTGTGTTTACCTACATGTCATCAGTATGTTGTACGTTATAAGTATGCAATAGTCCTTTAACTTGAAATGACATGGTTGTCTTGTACATATGGTGGACTAGTGTTTGTCAGTATGCGTCTTTCTGTCCCTATATGGGCACGATTCCATATCCATAATTTCTATACTGTAGATTCGTAATTTCTATACAGTAGATTCATAATTTCTATACTGTAGATTCATAAAATCTATATTTTAGATTCATAATTTCTAAACCGTAGATTCATAATTTAAATACAGTAGATTCATAATTTCTATACAGTAGATTCATAATTTCTATACTGCAGATTCATAATTTCTGTATTGTAGATTCATAATTTCTAAACTGTATAGTTATCAAATTATGAACGTATAATTCTGTGATTTGTGAAAACAGAGTTCAACAATTGAGAATATGAACATCGAAAATTATAAACATATAGCTCTATAATTATGAACTTATATTTATAAAATTATGAACATATAGCTATATAATTATGAATCTACAGTATAGAAATTATGAATATGAAAACGTGGGTGGGTACGTTTCCACAACATAATTTGCCTATAAATAGCCTTGTCATATTTCAATTATTAAGGAGATAATGAGAAGAGATTTTAAAGACCGAGAGAAAAAACAGTTTTCCACTAAAATTTTTTAGGAGTTCACGCGTGCTCGGCCACTGGACGAACTAGAGGCCGAACAATTGGATGGTTCATGACTTACTTCTGCCAAAGAATGCTTCAAGGGTAATATTACCCAACTCCTTTATGGCATCCTCAATAGTGATGATCTTGGTATAGTTTTTGGAGGTGTTATTAAGAAAGAGAAATAAGTGAAAAGGAAAAAAAGAAAAGGAAAAATAAAAAACTGACAAAATCCTTGCAACCCCTAACAAAACCCACAAATTAGCAAGACCAACCTAACCTCTCTCTCCTCTCTCTTCCACATACTCTTTTTTTTTTTTTTTTAAATTCTTGTGCAATATTCCCTTGTTGGGGATGCTCTTATAATGTAGAATCTAGAATGAACGATTGATGCATCTACTGTGTATATATATTTTTCTAAGAGTTCTACTACTTGTACTCTCTAAACATACTCCATAAATTTTACTCCTTGATGTGACGGATTCGATAAGTTATTTTTTTCATGTGGGTCCTACCACAAGTGTCTACATCAATGTTTTGTGTGTAGAAGTACAAATTGAGAGTACAAAATGGGAGTATATATGTAACATTTTCCTTTTTCTAATGATTGTGATAATGATGACCACCTTCATCGAGGTGACAGCTGGAAAATACTTTAAAATTTTGAATGTCACAATCCAAACGAATTTAAAATTAAAAATGATGACATGTTTATTTATAAAAATAATGGTGACCCGTGAGATTGGAACGGTAGTTATAAATAATTTTTATATTAATAAATTTATTAACATAATAAAATTATTATTTGTGAACGTAAATAAATCATTATGGTGTATAATCAAGATTGGGTAAGAAATTGGGATTCAACCTTTTGGAAGAAGATTGGGTAAGAATTAATTTCTTAGGTGAATGTTTGAATTAATCTTATTCGTCCATATAAGATAATCAATGGTTAAAATAAGATAGGAGAAAACATAGTAGCATGTTTGTAATTATGATGGCGGTTAATAGTACATTTGTGGATAATTGATAGTGCATTCATGATTTTAATAGTACATTCACCATGTGTATGCATTATTACTATTAAGTATTTTTAAATGCATTATTGTAATTATTGAAATGTCATAATGTTTTCTTCCTTAATTTTCAGTCTTTAATGATCATAAATGGATTCATGGGGTGTGTGTATACATATATAATTCTTTCAAGAAGGTTGAATCCCCAACCTCGGGTCCACACACCTAATCCGATAGAGTATTTGAAAAGATGTAAATCATGGTAACTCAGTTGAACATAGAGACTAGATCTTTGCTTATTGTACATAAAAAATCTCACACTGCCGCTGGTGTATACGTATATAATTATATATATATATATATATATATATATATATATATATATATAAAGATGGTCGTTTTGTCCAATGATAGGCTTTGAAGATCAGAATGATTCACACAAAATGATTTAAAATTATTAATTTATGAGGAGAGTTTGAATAGAGTGTGGATTAAAAAGCCAAGGACATGGATGCTGAGTCATCGGCATGTTTGGCTTACAGAGTTACAGCTCATTCTTGATTTCCTGCTGGTCGGAGGCTTTGTGAGTAGGTGTACTTCACCAGTCGCCAACACGTGCACAAACAACCTATGACTCTTAAACAGGCTGCAGCCCTAAAGTTCCTTTGTACAATCCCAATGGGATTTTGTTTCCTTACCTTTGAAGGGAAACGATATCTAATATATTAATATATTAGTATTAACACTACTTAATATAATTAGATATACGTAAATATAATTATATTTATAGTATTAATAGAGATTTTGAATGGTCAAGTTCAATAATACAGTTCAGAAAAGATAACATTAAACGATTATAATGAGTTTCAATTTAGATCGAGACAAAGTCAAATAATATAAGATCAGGAAATGTGTCTTGTGTCGTATAGTATGCGAGCCGAGCATCTACACAGTCAAATATTCGAGATATATTTCCCATCAAGCGTATTAGCATATTGTATTACTCAATAAATTATGTCCGGCCTCTTCCTTTGGTCACTAAAAGTTTCATATATATTGCTTCCAAAAAAAAAAAAGTTTCATATATATTCATGTCACAACAAAAGAGTGGAACCCAGTTTTCATGTCTTTTATGGCATGCAGTTGGCAACTTGGCATTGCTCAATCTTTGATTGTAGTGTAAGCTAGCTAGTCGCTAGCTAGGCAGGCCATCAATGGGGCCAATTATGAGTGTGTTTAACTGGTGTTGATGCAACTAGTTCTTACTATATATGGAAAATATTACATCTCCTCTCATTTTCTACTTTCAACTTTTACTATTTTTATATACAAAATCTTGATATAGACACTTGTATTGAGATTTACATGAAAAAAGTAACCTATCAGTACTTGTCAAGGAATAAAATTTAAAAAGTATGATTTGGGAGTCTATGTAGTAGAACTCCTCGTATATATATACTTGGATGGGTAGGTTAATTTCCTTACATGGTGAATAGTATGTCTTGTCCTTGTCCCATATATGATGCCAGAAAAGGGGTTTCATCCTCATCAAGATAAGTTTTGCTAGCTTATCAACTTGGTGTACTGTTCTTTGGTATACATATAATGTAGCACTAGTATTAATGTGTGTTAGTTGTACTTCATTCTTGTTGAGTTTTTGGCCGGAGTTATTACGTTAACCACGCTTTAATGATAATTTAAAGAATAAAAGAAGAAAATTGGAAATGTGAAAAGGGAAAAATCGAAGAATTCAATTCCTTTATACCAAGAAAATATGGCTAAATTTTACTAGTGTATTCTTCCGGGAATCACAGTTCAAGTTATTATTTTCTTCGTTTATATC